GATTTATTGTGGAGATGAGGTCTCGCTGCCCAGGCGGGTCTCGAAGCCGCGGGCTCAGGCAATCCACTCACCTCAGCCTCCCAAAGGCGCGGGATTCCAGGCTGAGCCACCGAGCCCGGCTTGAGCATGTTTTCAAGGTTCACCCATGCTGTAGCATGCATGAGTACGTCATTCCTTTTTTTTGGCAAATAGTATTCCACTGTGTGGGCTATAATACGTTTTCTTTATCCATTCATCAGTTGATGGACACTTGGGTTGTTTCCACCTTTTGGTTATTATGAGTAACGCTGCTATGAGCATTTACACACAAGTATCTGTTTGAACACTTGTTTTGAATCCTCTTGGGTGGACAGGCAAGAGTTTTTGTTTTAGTCTTGCCACCTTTGGGGGACACAGAACTATTTGAAACTGCCTGATAGGTGAGTTTCACGAAGAAAAAACAAAGCAAGCTGGGCTTGGTGGCTCAGCCTGGAATCTCGTGCTTTGGGAGGCTGAGGTGAGTGGATTGTGTGAGCCCGAGGGTTCGAGACCCGCCTGGGCAACTTGGCGAGACCTCATCTCTACAACAAATTAAAAATTAGCTGGGTGTGGTCGCGTGCGCCTGTAGTGCCAGCTACTTGGAAGGCTGAGGCGGAAGGATTGCCGGAGCCCAGCAGGTCGAGGCTGCGGGGGCCGGGAGCGAGTGAGACTCCAACTCCAAAAAAAACCCCAAACGAAAAAACAACAACAAAAAAAGAAGACAGTAGTGACCTTAAACTCAATGGATGGAAAAAGAATGAGGTTTATGCAGAATTTATAAAATGGTGCTGACATTTCTCTGTTTTTTATAAGGAGGGGAAAAAAATCTCTGGTGGAGATGTCTGAAAAGATGGGTCCGGGGAGTGCCAAAGTGAAATGAAAATGGTTCTGGGTTTGGGGGTATCTTGCCAGGATATTGATAATGGATGCTGCTTCAGCAGAAAGAAGAAAAGCTTGTCTAGTTACATGTAATGTAAGATGACAAAATTGGTGGAGCAAATTTTAGCTCAACAAATTGAAGAAAGGGACTCATTTATTACAAGAATATTGCTGTGCATTTCTATGGTGATAAACATTTTCTAAAGCAGCTTCATATCTATAAACTCATTAAGATAATTGAATCAGACAAAGCAGGTACTATTTGTTGCCATTTGAGAAACAAGAAAGTCAGGGTATCCTGCACGGCTCCTGGTGATAGCAGGCATTCAATCAGTATTTGTTAAATAAATGAAGCAGAGTTATATCAAGTCAAAGAATGTCAGAGCTGGGAGGGTCTTTGAGATGGCCCAGAAGCCCTCCTCCCACCCCTGTCAGAGCAGAGTGGGGAAGTTTTGGCCTTAAAACCAAGGCCAAGCCGGGCTCAGTGGCTCAGCCTGTAATCCCGCACCTTGGGAAGCTGAGATGAGTGGATTACCTGAGTTCGAGACCCGCCTGGGGAACTTGGTGAGACCTCATCTCTACAATAAATAAATAAATAAAACTAGCCGGGTGTGGTAGCGCGCGCCTGTAGCTCCAGCTACTTGGAAGGCTGAGGTGGAAGGATCGCCAGAGCCCAGCAGTTTGAGGCTGCGGTGGCTGGGAGCGGCCACCGCACTGCAGTCTGGGTGACAGAGTGAGACTCCAGCTCAAAACAACAACAACAACAACAAAAAACCAAGGCCAATCCATTCTCATCTCATATCTCAGTTTAAGGAAAAGGAGAAGTTGTGGTCTGTTTAAAGTATGACAAAACACTGTCATAGAACAGAGTGGCTTGTAACAAGACAGGAACTAAACAAGGATTCCTTATAAGGCTCCATCCCATTGTCATCTTCCATTCGCCTTCAGAAACTATTTGAGAAACAGTTCCTAGCTGCGACCTCTGGTCTGAAGATCTGACAGAATGATCTTTACCTGCCCACCCCCCCTGACAGGGCTTAACTCACCTGCAACCTTCTCTGACAGCCTTTGCCAGCCCCCAGGCTAGCTGAGTACCCTCTCTCAGAAACTCCCATATGCATCCCCTTTCACAATACAGAGAGCACACTGTGAAAACCAGCTTTTTCTTCTACCTCCCACCGTAAAGAACCAAACCTCAGTCCTTGCAAAAGCAGACTGTATTACCCTCCCTCATTCAAACCAGCATAACCACGGACCTCCTCACATATCTAGTTGAACCCCTCGAGGCAGAAGATGCCACCTCAGAGGACTGAGGAGTGGCTCACCTTCAGCAAGGAGGGGAGAAGAAGAGGCTCACCTTCTCTCTCTCCTTCTCTCCCTTCTACCCCTTCCTATGACCTGCACACTCACCTGCACCAGGTCTGGTGTGAGGCGCTTGGCCTGCAGCCATTTCTGGAACCTCCCTGTTTTCCGCAGGACACGCTCAATGCTGCAGGTCTTTGGGGCTGATGCAGAGGCACAGATTTTTCTGTCCGAGATCTCATTTTGGTATTTGCTGACCAGTCTAAAGATCTCCACAGGGCGCCAGGTTTTTGAATCATCTGAGTAATTTGCAGGATAAGAAAGCAAGTAGTCAGGAGGCAGTCCGAGGTGGGAAACCAGCCAGTTGTCAAACCTGTTAGAAGAATAGCCCTTTTAGAACTGGTCTATGAGCTGGAGACTCACAGAGCCCAGGGACAAGGAGATAGAGGACAACAGTCCATCTAATTCGTTTTTTGTGAGGGGACTATTTTTGTCTTCTCAAACTTAGGGACGCGAATATATGAGGTCAGAAAAGGTGAGGGAGATGTGGGTCAGACACAAACTATCCTCTTCTTGCAACTGGCATTAAAGGACTAGCCATGGTTCTCTGAACTTTTACCCTGTGTCAAGATAGCAGTTTTACAGATGCTGACATTTTTGCTTTTCCTAATACCCAATCCCCACCTTACGTAGATGGAAACTGAGGCTTACAGAGTTTAAGTACCTTGCCCAAGATCAGACATATCCTGCCATGCAGGGGTACAGACCCCATGCTGTCTGTCTGCAAACCCCACCACCTTTTCCTTTCACTACACTGCTTCTACAAACTGCCCACCCTCTGACCAAAGGCTGAGTCTTGAAATCATAGTTCTGGGGACACCACTGCACCTCCATATCCAACCCCAAGGAGCCCCATTAATTTTGTTTTCAGTCCAAAAATGTAAGCCATCAACACCAACCAAGACTCAGGCAATAGTGGCTGCTAAATGGTCACCAAATTTGAAGCGATTTGGGCTCCAGGAAGAGGGTAACTCTCCACAATGGCCTTGTCTGTCCTTAATTCTCTTCAGGGATAAGCACCAGCCAATTATCATCTGACAATTTCTCAGGCCCCACATTTACACTTTTCTCCATAGTCATTTCTCCAGCTGTGTGCTGACATTTCCATTAGGGACGAAGGTTAAATCTCCTTTTGATTTATGCACGAAAAATTACTCAGAAAAAGTTTACTTCATTATTAATAATTGAGGATCATACTACACATGAAAATCAGGCTATATGAGATATGTTATACATTTAATTTAAATAAGAATCTAAATTCTTATTATTGGGCAATCCCATGATAATGAGTTTTTAATCATGCTTTTTAGAGGAATTAGCATTTTGATTAGCCTCAAACTCTAGATTATTTTGTTTTCTCACTTATATGACACAATTTTACTCTGACATCACAAGTTTTTCCTACTAGTTTGATGGCAAAGAAAAATCATACAAAAAATTACTAGGGCAAAGAGGTCAAGGGACTTGTCCAGGGAGTTGGAGAGCCCAAGCCTCTGAATCCCTGAGGAATGCACTAGAACTCTGGGCCTCTCATTTTGGGAAAGTGCTCCAATGGAAACTATCAGTAAGCAACTTCTGTAATGCAGAACAATGCAAATTGCAATGGAAGTAGGCATGAGGAATTCTGTTCAAGAACATTGCCACAAATATATTTAAAAAGATGAAACACTGAAAACTTGTCATGAGTCAATTTTACTGGAAGTTTTAGGACAACCATGGGAAATGATCCTCTCCTCTGGGAGGATCAGGAAGTGCCCAGGGTCTGGACCTGTTTCCGGCAGCTGCTCTTGCTCATGGAGATTCAGCACCCTCCCCCTCCCAAGGGCTTAGAGCTAAGGATTTATAACTAGGTGGCTCTTTTAGATAAACATAATAGTAAACACACTTAAGCATGTCGGTCAGTTTGCTAAACACTTTATATTTATTAATTCATTTACTCCTTTCAATAAACTGTGAGGTTGATATTATTGTTAACCATACAGATGAGGAAACTGAGACAGAGAGTGGTTAAGTCATTTGCCCAAGGTCACACAGCCAGGAATTTGAGGAAGTGGCATTTAAGACTACAGAGCTTGCAATTGTCACCATTTTGTGGCTGCTTATTCCTCTATCATCCATTTTATGAATTAGCTCATGGGAAGAGATTGATAACATTATGAGGGGTTTTAGGTGGCAAAATCCTTAAAGATTATTTTGTCCCTACCTCCTTCCTCATCTTGTTTTGAGAAAAGAAAATTGAAGACAGAACATATATGTGACTTGTCTGAAGAAGAATCAGATTATTAGTGGCAGAGGAGGGCAGATCTCAGGGCTCTGTTCTCCCCATTGGTGGGGGTGGTGTGGGAAGAGACTTCCTGCTCTGTGGGACAAGTTCATGGTCCTTTTTTTCTGTCCCCACCTCTTGAGGAGGCTCTGCTGAGAGACAGTGCTGCCTTGGCAGGTGACCTATAATGAATGCCTGTGCAGTTTCAGTGAAGGCTGGAGGCATTCCATAAGTTCTAATTGAGACAAATAAATTTACAGGTCTCACATCTCCCCCATTCAAAATGATAATACATTTATTGCATCAAATGGGAAAAATATATATTCTTACAATATTGATTACCTACTTTATTGAACAGAAGAATGTCAGTGAGAAAATGGGCCCTTCTTTTTATTCACTAAAATGTTTGAAAGGACTGGCAGAGCAAGAAGCCATTTTGTCTTGTTCCTAAACCCTAACACAACGATGAGAAGGTAGAAACTAAGCCCTGGAGGAGTACATTCTTTAGGTAAAGATTAACTTTGCTGAATTTGTCTTTTCAGAAACCCAGATCCCTCAAATATGCCCATTGTAATTTTTTTTTTTTTTTTGATTTGGAGTCTCACTCTGTCACCCAGACTGGAGTGCAGCGGCAGCCTCGACCTGCTGGGCTTCGGCGATCCTTCCGCCTCAGCCTTCCAAGTAGCCGGAATTACAGGCGCGCGCTACACGCCCGGCTGATTTTTTGATTTTATTGTAGAGATGAGGTCTCGCTGCCCAGGCGGGTCTCGAACCCGCAGGCTCAGGCAATCCACTCACCTCAGCTTCCCAAAGGCGCGGGATTACAGGCTGAGCCACCGAGCCCTGGCTGGAAGTGATGTTTTCTTAAATAAATCTTTTCTTTCTATATCTCTTTGTGTTACAAATCTGTGTTACTCGGATCTCTGGTTACCAGGATGCACCTCTGGCACCCTCCGTCCCTAACAATGCTATCATCCTGGAATTTGGAAAATCGCAAAACAGGGGCAGCTTTCTAATATTCTTTCTAAACGGAGACCACGGGCATGACTGAAATAAGGCTGGGCAAGCTCCTGGTTGAGTTAAAAGATGGACAAGCAGGATCATAGTTTCTCAGAGTGGAAGGAGGCATCAAGACCATGTGGTCCAATTCTCACCCCTAAGTTCCTTAACAGAGAGTAGGGTGGAGATGTGGAGGAGAATGACAGCTTTGGAATTAGAATGAAATACGCTCTCTGTGTGTGTACTTCTGATGTTGGTATCCAGTCAAACATCAAGTCTGTAGACATGCCTCCTTAAATATTCCTTCCTCTCTTCCCTCTTCTCTGTCCCCTAGTTCCGCACTGAACCCTTAAACCATTCAGCGTCTTCCCAAAGTTTTCAAGACATAGTTCATGCTCCTTAGTGCCTAAAGCTCAGTTCACAATGCTTGTTGCATGCTACCTTGCCTGCTGCTCCCCTTTCAAGCTTGCTTTGGGCTTGCCAACCCACTAGTTATTTTTGGATAAACCACATTCTTTTGGGCTTCTGAACCTCCACCCCCCCTGTCATGTGCTGAACCATTTGTCTGAGACACTTTCTTGTCTGGAAAATCCCTATCCTGCCCTTTAAAACCCATATGGGTACCACCTCTTCTGACCTTCGCTCCATCATCTCCCAGTTGAGACATTCCCACATGCTCCCTTAACACCCTGTGTGACATACTTTGAAAAATATTCTGTATACTCTGTTTTTTTTGTTTTTTTGTTTTTGAGTTGGAGTCTCACTCTGTCGCCCAGACTGGAGTGCAGTGGCCGCTCTCGGCCACCGCAGCCTCGCTTTGCTTGGGCTCCAGTGATCCTTCCGCCTCAGCCTTCCGAGTAGCCAGAACTACAGGCGCGCACTACCACGTCCAGCTAATTTTTGATTTATTGTACAGACGAGGTCTCGCCAGGTTGCCCGGGTGGGTCTCAAACCCGCGGGCTCAGGCAATCCACTTGCCTCGGCCTCCCAAAGTGCTGGGATTACAGGCTGAGCCACCGAGCCTGGCCTATACTCTGTTTTAATCCTTGATTTACTTCTCTGTCTTCTCAATAGAAAGCAAACTCCTTCAGGGTGAGGATTTGGCCTCTTTTAATATGATAAAATTAGAGTGCTCATCAGAGTGCTTGGCACCAAGTTAGTGCTCAATATCTTATAGTTGAACGGATGGATGGATGGGTATTTGGACGTATAGACGGAGAACTGAGTAGAGAGACACGTGGAGGGCTAGATGATGGGATGCATAGAGTGATGGTTGGGTGGAAGAATGCATGGAGGCACGCCTGGATGAATGGGTGGATGGATAGTGGAGGGATGGGTGCATGGGTGCATGTATGGATGACTAAATGTGTAGATGGATACTTTTACCATAAGCTCCTGGGCTCTGCAGGTCCCAAGGCCTCTGAGTTGATGTGAGAAAGTGAGTTAAAGCAATAATTATTCTCATGGTCTGAGAGAAAGGAGATGGACAAAAGGTAAGGGAGAAGGAAAGGCAAAATGAAGTCTAATGATTAACTTATTTTACTGTGAGCCTTTCACTGCCTACTTTGAAGTGTTTAAACATTTTTTGAGACATTGGGAATAAGGGGTGGGTGTGTAAGGTCAAGTGTTTATGGTAAGAAAACTGAGGTAAAGCATCAGCCCTGGTAGGAACCCAGGAAACCCTAGGAAGGATTCTGATCAGAGATATTGCCACTAAGCTCCCTCCATCCCCCCAAACACAATACTAACCAACCAGATCATATTAGGTCTTGCCAGTTGGTGTGACCACTCAGGATTTTATATATAGGTATGCTGTCAGTAGGAAGAGTGTGTTGATCAAGCTTACTCACTTTCTTAGATTTCCTTAATTTTTTCATTCAGGATTTGAAAGTCAACATGGAATGCATGGGAAAATTGGTACTGAAAACATTCAGATTATGGGGAGTGTGTCATTCATCCTTAGCATTCTCTCCAAAGAAAAGATAAGGGATGAAGAAAATGTGACATTCATCTGTCAATCGTGTGTCTTCAGTGTACCCAGCCAGCCTGAGAAAACCATCTGTCTTTCGTTGCTGAACAGATACAAGCATTGTCCCATCTTTAGTGAGGACCCAGATCTGGCTATAGTATTTCAGATAAACATCTGCGTTTTGGATAAGCTTCTCCTAAGGTGACATGATAAGCATTATTTTTTTGAGTTGGAGTCTCACTCTGTCACCCAGACTGGAGTGCAGTGGCCGCTCCCGGCCACCGCAGCCTCGACTTGCTGGGCTCCGGTGATCCTCCCGCCTTAGCCTTCTGAGTAGCCGGAATTACAGGCGCGCGCTACCACGCCCGGCTAATTTTTGATTTATTGTAGAGATGCGATCTCGCCTGCCCAGGCGGGTCTCGAGCCCATGGGCTCAGGCAATCCACTCACCTCAGCCTCCCAAAGGCGCGGGATTACAGGCTGAGCCACCGAGCCCGGCTGATAAGCATTTTTAAAAGTGGAGAAATGTTTGGTGAGAACGCAACCAACAATCACACCATTAGAAAAAGAGGCTAAGGATGTGAACTTGTAGACAATTGAGCAAAGAACACATACAAATCATCAATAAATTTGAAGAAAAAACTCAATTCAGAAGAAATACAAACTAAAATGAGAGTAATGCTAAATATTTGTAAATATGTAAGAAATGAGCTCCATAAGTAGAAGTCTCCACTTGGAGACACACACACACACAAACACCACCCCCCACATTTCCTAAAAATTTGCTTTTTTGTTTTGATCCAGAAACTTGACTTTTAAGAGTCTGTCATAAGGAATTAATCACAGATGTGCACAAAATATAGCCACGGGGATGTTTAATATAGTGCTGTTGATAACACTGAAAGGTGAAAAAAAAACCCCTTAGTCTCATGATGGTTAAATAAATTATGGTTGATTGATGCAATTGAGTACCATGCAGCCATTAAAAATCAAATTGTGGAGAAGTTTATTTAATAATATGGAAAGATGTTCCTGATGTATTGTTTTTTTTTTTTTTTTTTTTGAGTTGGAGTCTTTTACTCTATCGCCCAGACTGGAGTGCAGTGGCCGCTCCTGGCCACCACAGCCTCGACCGGCTGGGCTCCAGTGATCCTTCGGCCTCAGCCTTCCAAGTAGCTGAAATTACAAGCATGCACTACCACGCCCGGCTGATTTTTTTGATTTATTGTAGAGATGAGTTCTCGCCAAGTTGCCCAGGTGGGTCTTGAACCCGTGGGGCTCAGGCAATCCACTCACCTCAGCCTCCCAGGGCGCGGGATTACAGGCTGAGCCACCGAGCCTGGCCTGATGTATTGTTAAATAAAAGTTTCCAAAAGAGTATAAGAGTACATAGTATGATCACATTTTTGTCAAAAACATTTCTTAATGCATACTTTAAAAAAGAGTGGCAAAATGTTCACTACAGGGCAATCTCTTATATTATATATGAATTATATATGATATAGGGAATTATATATGATTATTATTTTGTGTTTTCTTTAATCAATATCTCCTGAAAATTCTAAAATAAACAGGCACTACTTTTCTAATAAGGAAAAGTCTATTTATAATGTAGAGAAAAGAACTCTAAACAAGGCTGCATCCCCAGACCCACTCACTGCCTCTCTCTGCCTCTCTGTGCTGAGAATGGGCATTCCCAATGCAGATTTCTGGAAACTTGAACCTGCCTGCCTGGCATTTTCCTGCTTGTATCTGCACACTTCCCTTTCAGGGGCATATGGAAAATGAATTCTAAGGGAGATGAAGTAATATCCTGAACTCTAATGGAACACAAACCTATTTAGAAAAATGCTTTCCGAATTTGTTCTCACCTGCCTGGTGAGAACAATTTTGTTTATTGCCCCTTGATGAATAAGGAGAATGTGAACCTAGAGCTTTTCCTTAGTTGAATCCATAATTTCTCTCCTTCCTATCCTCAAGTGTCTTAAAATAGGCTCGTATTTCCATTTCTTCCTTTCTCCAAGGAATCAGCAACACTTCACCTATAGTCTTGGTCCCCTTCATCCCGTTTTCTAGGTTGAAAACCTTGAGTTCACATTGAGCATCTCCATCTTTATTTCCTCTCACATGGAGCTGGTCAACAAAATGAATCCGTCAATGAGCTGACTTGCACCCTTCCTGCCCTACTTTGTTCCTGACGATCTCTCACCTGGACTATCACTGGTTTCAGGGACCCTGTCAACACCACCAGTCCATCCTGCACACTGCTTTCCGGGAGATCTTTCTGAATCACAGGTCTCATCTTGACATATCCTCCTCAGCCTAACACCCTCACTATTTCTTTTTACTAGAACTTCTCCAGTGGGGAATCTCAACTTTTCAACATCCAAAAATGCCTTTAAAAAGGCTTAGTAAAAAAAGTCTACATGGACTCCATAAAATATCTCCAGGCTCACAAAATATATTTAACATTTTTGATTGGTATTTTCTATTTATTACTTCTGTTTAGGAATTTAGTTGAATAATCAAATATATCTTTGGTTAGTACAAATTGGAAATAAAATCATTGTTAACTAATGCCTTTTTTTGGTCACCAAATTTTTTTTTTTTTTGAGTTGGAGTCTCATTCTGTCAACCAGATTGGAGTGTAGTGGCCGCTCCCAGCCACCGCAGCCTCAACCTGCTGGGCCCCGGCGATCCTTCCGCCTCAGCCTTCCAAGTAGTTGGAACTACAGGCATGCGCTACCAGACCCGGCTGATTTTTTGATTTATTGTAGAGATGAGGTCTCGTCAAGTTGCCCAGGCGGGTCTCGAACCCGCGGGCTCAGGCAATCCACTCACTTCGGCCTCCCAAAGTGCTGGGATTATAGGCTGAGCCACCGAGCCTGGCCTGGTCACCAAATCTTACAAGCATGAGGTAGGTCCTTCAGGGAAGATGGAGGAGAAGGGGCATATGATAAAGGGTCTTTGGTTCTGAAAAGACTGGGACCGCTGGTCCACAGGATTAAGGTACCTTGCCCTTGGCACGACCTTCAAAGGCCCCTGCCTCATATATCCTTCCAACCTCCTCTTCCACGCCTCTGCATGCATCCCATGCTCCAGCTGCCAAGCAGCTCTCACCTCTTCCCATACCTCTGGGCCTTTGCTTAGCTGCTGCTTCAGCTTTAAGTCCTTCACCTCCCACCAAATTTCAGCTCATCCTTCAAGGTCTTGTTCAGAATACCGCTCCCTGGAGAAGCCCTTTCCCAGTCCCCACTTGGAATTCATGTCCCCTTCCTGGAGCTCCTGTACACTGGCCTGCATCAGATCAAGACTTATTATTATTTGTAACATAGCTTCCTCCTCATAACCCCTCTGGAGAGCAATGACCTGAGTTATAGTGGCTGTTACCATAGCACCTGCTGGATCTTGGCCATGGTAAAGGCTCATCAACTGTGTTGATAGGCTTGGATTCCAGAATGTGGCACCATTCTTTGGTGAGAGCTATGTGCATTGCAGTTTACTAAACTCCAGTTTTCCTCTGACCAAAGCAACACCTCACAACAGAAAGCTCAGAAATTTTGCAGCAAACTCTCCTGTTTGAATCCCAGATCTGCCAGTTATTAGGTGGTGACTTTGGACAAGTCACTGAATCTTTTTTGTTTAAAATAAATTTTGTTGTGTATATTCAAGGTATACGTTATGATGTTATAAGATACACATATATAGTAAAAAGGTTACTATAGTGAAAAAAATTAATGATCCATTATCTCATATAGCTATCCATTTCCCCCCCTGAAGTCACTTAATCTTGCTCTCATTTACTAAATAACAGGTGCAAATCATGAACTTGCACAGTGGTTTAAAGTGTCTATCACAAAGTAGGCTTTCTGAAACTTTTATTTCCTTCCCCATATGAGAAACGAACTTAGTAAACTCAATAGACCCAAGCTACTCCATTCATAGAAAAGAAAACTACAAGCTTTCACGTCAAAAAGAAACTTTGGATTTAGCATTTAGGGCTGGAATTTGACTTCACAACTTGCCCTCCCACCCACTCCAACTTTAAATCTTTACTACTCTGATTAAATGGCTTCGTTTCAGTTCCCACCCATATATATCCCCATTCCTTTTCAACCAACTTTTGGACATCTTTACATGAAGGGAACACAATTTTGTCCCTCAGAGTTATTTGATTGAGATTCTGACCTTATTTCTTCTTTAAAGAACTTCTTGCAAATAGATGTCCCGATGCAGGCATTGCATTTATCAAGACCGAGGAAAGTCCTTCCAAAATTGTAGCTTGTTCTGACTTGGGGCACCAGAGAAGGAGGGGGAGAAGCTGGCAAGGAGAAAGAAAACCTCAGGGCTGAGACCCACAGCAGCAGGGCCAGTGAGCCCAGGCGGAGGGTGGCCTCAGACCCCAACCGGGTCTCCATCTCTTGCTCTGGGCTGTAGCTGCAGCCTCTGGCTTCCCATTCGGGACTGCACAAAGGCAGGGTTTGGCCAAAGAGGAAGCTGTCAGAAGGGGCTGGCTTCTGGGCACTGACTCCATTCTAGCCTCCCAGGTTTCTGTTTGAGGATGCTGAGGAGCTTGGGGCTAATGAGGCTGGGAAGGAGGTGAGGAAGTCCGTGGAGGATGCTGATAACGCTGTTTCCAGAGTTACTCTTCCTCTGCCTGGGGCGGCTGCTTCAGCCTGGGGAGGGACACTGGCAGATTTCAGGAAGGACAATGGTCAGGGCTTCCCTATGTGGTCCTTTTGACAAACACAGGATATCCCTGCTGGGCAGGAAAGGTCCATGCAGGATGTGTGTCCGACCTGCGTTCCACCTGGGAGTTTTAAAGGATCGAAGGCCTCCACCCTCTACTGTTTTAATTCTGGGTATATCTGTCCCTATGGATTAAACGATTAAACACATACACACATACACACCAGTCTATTCCCCCTCTGCACTAGGCAATTTCTCCTGTTCCTTAACCAGCTCTACCTCCCCCACTCTTACCATATTTGGCTGTGGAATAAATAGAGGTTAGTGTGCTGACCATTAAGTGTCACATTTGACACTGATTTGAAAGGCAAAGACTTTTTGCTACTTAGGGAATAGAAAACCTCGGGTTAGTCCATTTTTTCTTGCTGATCTGAGAACGTGAGAGGGGCAATAACCTGGTGACCTCTGTGGTATGATGAGGGGAGCATCAGGAAGAGCTCTCGGCCTGCACCTAGCAATAGTTTGATTTTGATGAAGTCTAATTCCATCTGTTTCCTATAGGCCTATAAATCTCCTTTTTTCTTTTCCACCCTTCCTCACTTGTCAGAGGCTGCCCTTATTTAGTAGGATTTAACTGCCCCAGGATTGCCTTCCTCCAGATACCAAGACAAAGTCTACAACGAGTAGATGGGAGTGCTAAATTGGGCATAAAGCATTTCTGAGGTGGCTCAAGCCTGTAATCTCAGGAATTTGGGAGGCTGAGGTGAGGGACTGCCTGAACCCATCGGTTGGAGAGCAGCCTGGGCAACTTGGTGAGACCTCATCTCTACCATAAATCACAAAATGAGCCGGGTGTGGTAGCGCGTACATGTAGTTCTGGCTACTTGGAAGGCTGAGGCGGAAGGATCGCCGGAGTCCAGCAGGTCGAGGCTGCAGTGGCCGGAGTATGCCACTGCACTCCAGCCTGTAAGTGAGACTCCAGCTCCAAAAAAAAAAAAAAAAAGAGTTTCTGAGGACTATATCAGGGAAGGCAGGTTGCCTGACTTCCTGCGAGGGCATGGGGGTGGGAAGCAGGGTGCAGTTTGAAAATGTAAGAGAGTGTATAGGAAGATGGAGCTGGGAGAAACAAAGGAGGTGAGAGGGAGTGGGAGTGGCCTCAGGAGAATGAAGAGTTCGGGTAAACATTGGTGGGATAAGCCGGTAAAGGTAATTCTCCCGTGATTAAGCAAGTGCTCGTGAGCCATCTGTATATTCACCTCAGTGAAATGTCTGGTCATGTTTGTATTTTATTGTTGAGTTTTGATACTTCTTTATATATTCTAGATCCTAGTCCTCTGTTGAATGTGTGGTCGCAAATAATTTCTACCAGGGGGTAATTTGTCTTTTATCCTTTTATCAGAGTCTTTTGCAGAGCAATAGTTTTGATTTTGATGAAGTCTAATTTGTCAGTTTTTCCTTTTATGGATCATGCTTTTGGTGTCAAGTGTGATAAAAGAAAAACTTAAGTATATTTACATTTTAAAGAGTTTATTTGAGCATTCAGCGATTCATGAATTGAGGCAGCATCAGATTACAAACAGCTAGCACACCACTGGGAGGAGCAAGAAAAGAAACTTTTATGAAGTGTTTGCAGAAGCAAGACAAATAAAACAATTTTGATTGGTTAGAGTGGAAAGTCCCTAGCTAGAAGCTAGTTGGTACTTCTGATTGGTACATGTGGAGGTTAAATCAACTCCATCTTCGATGCTAATTCGCTTTGTTACTTCTGATTAATCCCAGTTCTGGGAAGGCCTCTAAGATTTCCAGTTTATCTATGATTCCTTGTGTAAGAGCATGTACTTACAGTAAATCCTGCTGTCAGGTCAGACAACCTTGATGTTATCATACTTCAATTGTCCTTCATATTTCTTTGGAATCACCCTTCCCCTATGGTATGTAAGCCCTGACTCTGGAGGGTAATGACACCAGGATCCACCATCTTGTCTTGACCTCCTGAGACAGACATGGCTTCTGTTCGTAAGTCCCTATTAAATGTTTCTTTTTTTTCTTCTAAAAAATGGGATATGTCAGCCTTTTTCTTTGGCCTCTTAGCTTCCTTGGACTTTAGGGTAGATTTGCATAGACCTGCCTACTGAAAAACAGTACAGCTTCTAGTTTACTAGAAACTTACTAAATTTTACTGTTTACATTGGGCTTTGGTTTGTCCATCTAGGGATTTAAAGTGCCAGAGTCACCCCAGTCTAATGGCCGTCCGAGTCAAAATTCTCAAAAACCAAACCAACTAACATTTCTGGGGAAACAAAAGAAAAATAAAGGTTAATGACTAGAATAAACTCTAAATTCAGTCTCTCAGTCCAGAGGAAAGTTATTCAAGAAGGTTTCTAGATTTTACCTTGAAACATATCTTTCAAGTCGGGCTTGGTGGCTCAGCCTGTAATCTCGCACCTTTGGGAGGCTGAGGTGAGTGGATTACCTGAGCCCGCGGGTTCGAGACCCGCCTGGGCAGGCGAGACCTCATCTCTACAATAAATAAAAAAATTAGCCGGGTGTGGTAGCGCACGCCTGTAGTTCCAGCTACGTGGAAGGCTGAGGTGGAAGGATCGCCGGAGCCCAGCAGGTCGAGGCTGCGGTGGCTGGGACTGGCCACTGCACTCCCGTCTGGGCTCCAACTCAAAAAAAACAAAACAAAACATATCTTTCTGGCTTGCAGTTTGAATGTCTCTAATTTTCCATTGGGGGTTTCGATGAACTCCCTGAGTGTTACACATATCAGGCATTAGGGCTGTCTTCTGAAATTATATCAAGTTGTCTATGTTCAGCTTTTGGGGCTTCGGGAGCAGAGCACTTCTTGTTCTTTGTGATTCCAAGTCAGAAAAATGGGAGAAAATTGGATTTGAGAAATCAAGAAAAATTCAGTCTACAAGTAGATAATAAAACTCAAAAACAATGAACAGGGCTACAATCTACTAACAACAATTATGTACAAATCCTTTCAGACATTTCAGGGGCCCTCTGGAATGTCCCAAAGTTTGTCCTAGATCAAAAAGATATAGATTGTATTAGGTCAGTGAGCCACGAATAAAGCAATGAATTGCAAAGGCAAAGCAAAAGAGTTAATTCATATTCAGGACAAACTGAAAGGGGCTAATGCTGTGAACAGTGACGCAGGGGGTGTGGGGAGAGGGTGTATTTAAGGTGTTTACAGGGAAGCCGGACTAGAAAAAATTCCAGTAACTGTATCCTTGGGAATTGATAACATAAGTCTTGTGTCTTGATGTTGTCAGGACAACACATCTTGTGACTCCAGCAGGGGGTGGGCTGGTGAGCTGTCACAGAAGGTTGATCACAATAGATTAGGGCAGCTTGGCCCTCATGGCTGGAAAACAAATACTTGGAATAGAGGGATAATTAATATAGAGCATGCTTGAGGGTTACAAACAATCATAAGTATTTACCTCCAGGAAACCAATTCGGTCTTCTGTTAATGATTAGAGGGTTGGCTATGTGATTTGCTAAGAAAGCATGACAGAACCAAGCAGTGTTAAAATGGCTGCACTTTAAGATTATTTCATTAAATTACTCCATCTTGGCATTTCATCCTTTCAGTTTGATTTCTATTTTGGAAAGTCTGCAAAAAATGTCACAAGGTTTGAAACATTTTATTAAACAGGTTCAACAGTCACTATGAAATAACGAAAGGCAAATACAAAAAGGTTACATAGCTGCAAAAAAACCTTAGCACCTTTAATATTGAGAAGACTCACTGTTCCTAGGTAATTAAAGATCTAATAAAAGACAGCATGAAGCACAAGAAATTATCATGATAAAACACAAATCCTTGTAAGTCGATTATTAAAAGATAAAGATAATCTTTCACCAAGAAAACTGTTCTTTTAACGGAAAGAAAACCAGATTCTAGTTTTATATGAATTAACTTTCAACACTAAAGCTCAGTTAAAAAATCCTTATAATAAATTCATTCGGGCAACCCCCTTTGGTCCCCTCTTACTGTGGGAGCTTTTTTGTCCTCTCAATAAATCCTGCTTTCCAAAAATAAATAAATTAAAAATAAAAAATAAATTTAATTTTAGCGAGTTCAACAATACATGCAATTCCTTTTTCAAATTTTCATTTTGACAAATCTTCTACAACTTTTAAATATTTATTTACAGCAGGGCTCGGTGGCTCAGCCTGTCATCCCACGCCTTTGGGAGGCTGAGGTGAGTGGATTGCCTGAGTCTGCGGGTTCGAGACCCGCCTGGGCAGCGAGACCTCATCTCTACAATAACTCAAAAAATCAGCCGGGCGTGGTAGCGCATGCCTGTAATTCCGGCTACTCGGAAGGCTGAGGCGAAAGGATCGCCGGAGCCCACCAGGTCGAGGCTGCGGTGGCCGGGAGCGGCCACTGCACTCCAGTCTGGGCGACAGAGTGAGACTCCAACTCAAAAAAAAAAAAAAAAATTTTTTTATTTAGTTTGTCCTGTACTCTTACTCTTTTCCCACTGTGGGACAGTCACTCTAACTTAGGACATAATTGCGCTCTTTTTTTCCCTTAACCAAAGCTCATCCTCATCTTATAATTTCCTTGGTAAAGCATGCCTTACTTCTCTTGCATGCAGAGCTGTTTCCCTTATTATTTCTAGAAATTTTGATTACATATGTTAATTAGAACTTTTAACTTTTAATAGCCATAATTTCTAGAGAAAACTGGTAAGAATTAACTATTTTATATCAGCATTTTATAGGTAAACATCTTGTCATAATACAATTTTTCATGTTTATTAACAGACCCCTATATATTTAGCTTCCCTGTACTGCATAAAAACAAGATTCCAAAGCACATATATATATGTA